CCCTCCATGCATCTGATGAAGAGAGCTGTGTTTCTCAAAAGCTTATGCTACAATAAAGTTTGTTGGTCTTAAAGGTGCTACTGGGCTTTTTACTATTTTGCAGCAACAGACTAACACGGCTAAACTCCTCCGGATCGGGCCTTTCAGGTGACTCTTCCCTTTCCTCCTGGCTACCCCTGATGCCACCTAGAATTCCTGAGTGATGTCACCTCCCTGCTTCCTTAAAACCTACTTTTCCCGTGACGGTTTCGGCAACCCCCCCCCTTAAATTAAGCCTATGCACACGCCATGGAACTTCTCCCTCTGTCCACCAACCTCTCCACACCTTTCCCTTTGAGTCTCCCTTATGGCAAACTTCCAGCTGCAAGCCCCTCAGGCCCGGGACCCGTTTTCTTCTGCTCTGCCAAGCGCCGTGCCTGTTGGTGGTGCAATACCAACAAACCACCCTCATCGCCCTCACTAAGGGGACTCCGTGCCAACGGGAGGTGGAAAGGCAGTGTTACCTGGTACGCCGTCAAAACCGGGGGCTCCCATGTCCCCGGGGAATCCGGAGATATTGGAAACTCCAGGAAGGCCTGGCAGACCAGCCGGTCCAGGACCTCCAGCTGTCCCCCGTGGCCCTGCCAGTGAGAAATCAAGAGATATTAGCATTGCAGAATCATAGAATCACAGAGTTGGAAGGGACCTCCTGGTTCATCTAGATCCTGCCCTTCTCTACCCAAAGGGAGTCTCAGAGCGGCTTACAATCTCCTTCCCCTCCCCACAACAGACACCCTGTGAAGGAGGTGGGGCTGAGAGAGCTCTCTCGAGAACTGCTCGTGAGAGAACAGCTCTGAGAGAACTTATTTATTTATTTCATTTCATTTATACCCCGCCCTCCCCGCATGCGGGCTCAGGGCGGCTTACACGGCACAACAGTGCAATAAAATATAACACATTGAAATAATTTAGGCACACAAGTGCAATAAAATTACACAATTATCCACTTAAAAACACAATTCAATATTACCGGATGCATTGGTAGTTAAAAATACTCATTCGTTAGCCTATCTCACCGTGAGGTTAGCAGAAAAACTTGTGACAGTTCCACGTGGAAGAGCTTTTTTTTCGGGGAATCAAACCCAGTTCTCCCAGATTAGAGCTGTGCTCCTAACCACTACACCAGACTGGCTCTAGTCCAACCCCCTGTCCAATGCAGGAAATTCACAACTACCTTTCCCCACACCCCCCAGTGACCCTTGCTCCATGCCCAGAAGATGACAACCCCCCCCCCTTCCAGTACACCTCCAAGGAGGAGTCAGAGGCAAGGGGACGCAGATCCTTTGTGAATTTTTTTAGAAGTGCTGAGAATCTGGCACTTTCTTTCTTTGTGGGCACTCCCCCACCGCTGCAAGTTAAAATTTCACACTCTCTGGAGTGGATCAAAATGTATCAGTTCTCCCGTGCCAAATCATTACACCTGTGCGGAGTGATTGCAGGGTTCTCCTGCAGCAACTGATACGTTAGGATAGATCTCTTTCC